TATTTTTTAAAATAGTTATAATATATATATATATATATATATATATATATATATGTGTGTGTGTAATATATATATATATATATATATATATATATATATATATATATATTATAAATTAATTGATTTAAAATATGGTTTTAAATCAATTAATTTTAATATTAATGCTCTGTAAATTTACATTGAGCACTATTTTAAAAAATAAAAATATCTATAAGAACACCGGATTATATATCTTACTGTTCTTCCTTTTTATTTATATATACATATATATATATATAATATATATATATATATATATATATATATATATATATATATATATATATTTACATGCACATGAAGGAGTGCTGAAACATTCTTGATGAGATCTACTTCCCAACATCTGAACAAATATTAAAATTTTCAATGGACTTCTTAGACTGAGAACTTTTCAACACTCCTTGCATAAATAAATACATACATACATGCAGATACATCAATAACTTCTCACCTTAATGAAAATAATAATAATAACAAACATAATTTTTCTTTTCTAACTCAGATCACGCATTATACATGGAAATGTCTCTTTATCAAAATTCAGGAAAAACATGTTTAAATTAATACAAACTATATTGTAAGGATTATAATAGATCTAGCAAAATTAGACTGGAAATAAAAAGAACAGTGTGGCTTTGTTCAAGACATACTATCTTTATGATTGGAAAGCTATCAGAGTGAGCAATATAAAACGAAAGCAGAAATATGTATACTTTTTTCATAGATTGCACAAAAGTATTTGATAAGGTATGACATGAAAACCCATTTGAAATACTAGAAGAGCTTGATTTACATAGGCAGGATATTCAAGTAATCCATAACAAACAGTCTACATGTGAAAATAGAAAGGGGTGTATTTTTTTTGCTCACCAGATTTATTTAACCTAAGAGAACTAAATAAACTAGAAAAACTACCAGTATGATGTTCACCTCGTCGGTTTGTTCGATGTTCAATCACAAGGCTGGTGAAGATCAAATTGTCAACAGGAAATCATTTAATTGGTTTGGTCTGGACAGGGTGAAGTCACTAGTAAAAAAAAACAGACTGTATAAAAGAAAATGCTTTATATAACATTTCTTGTACAGAGCTGGTAGTACAATTATCAGTTCTTCAGGCAGGAGTATATACTCTTCATGCAGAGTTATTGAGCCTTCCCTCTTCGAATATTTTGTGACACTTTGTTCAGTGTGACTAAGTCTAGGCAAAGCTTCTAGGATGCAGCTCAAAGTCAGAGGTCTTCTTCAGACAGGAAGTCATGTGAGATCAGGTGAAATCAGGTCATCTCTCATCCAGCATCTGGAACAACTGTCTGTTAGTTGCTTCAACTTTCTGCTTATATGGACCTCCATCCAAAACCAGCATGTAGTCTGACGGAGCTTGGAGTTTTGGTAAATCCCCTAACCCCTACAAAGAGTCCTTGGTTATCTGACTCTGAAAAATTAATTGCATGCTGAATTTTGGCAAAATCCCTTCCCCTAAGAGTAGTGGTAGCAGAATATTGGTCCACTTTCTCATATTGGTACCTCATGCCAATACTACCAAAGGAGCATAAGCAATTCCTCCATCCTACTTGATATTTCACTTCAGTTGTCATTTTGACAAACTCGATTTTTAGACTGCAGAAGTGAACAAGCAGAGCTTACTGATAATCATTAATTTTAATTATCCCTCAAAATTTTCTTCAGTGAGATTCCTTGACCTAAACCCCATTCTCTCATTCAGATATTCACCAGATATCCTCATTACAGTGCTTTCTTAGCAGTTTCAACTTGTGACACTGGGTAGTCAGCTCTTATCTAAAGAAATTTCATTTCTTTAGCGATTTACCTTCTTTTTGTTTTTTGACAAGGGATATACATCAATTCTATAACTGTGCTTTTGTGCCCAGAAAACCTTAAAAATATCATCAGTTCACTTGTTGTCAGCAAAATCCTTCAACTTAGCTTCACCCATAAAATGCAGAAATTTACCAGATGGCTTTCAAGTATACAAAGAATACATCATTTTCTTTATCTTTTTAACTGACTTCCATATCCTGCACATTAAATAGCAATTATCAATCAGTGTCTCCATTTTGGCCTTGTCTTAGGAAAATCTTCTGCTGACTTGAATGTTATTACATCACTTCTCCCCAGCCCTCATGAGTTTAAATTATCCAGATGACTTTTTTGGCTTGATTCCTCAAAACAACAAAGCCACCCCACCTCAAGTTAGCCCCGTTCACACCTTTCATGGTTTACTCAAGGAAGAAAACAAAATTTCTGAATTTTAATAAAATCCTGCTTCATCTCTTGGAATGTTTATCAGGCAATCTCTTAACTTTTCCAGTGTTTTATGGTGTTACACTAGGATTTATTATCAGTAGACATAATCTTAGCATGAAAAATGTAGATAACACTGTGTTGATTGCAGTTTCAGGAAGGAAACTGAAAAAACAATTAGACAATGGAAAGTAAGAAGAAAGAACTAACTATTTGCCTATCATCTGGTTCACACTCCCCTCTAGTCATTTGAACAAGAGTAGAGGATTATCCCTTGTTTTCATGTTTAGGATTGGGTTCTAATTCTCTTTCACTCCTGTAGCCCTTGATGTTTTTTATCACCTTGCTTGTTTGCATTGATTAAAAGCAAATAAACAAAACAAAAACTTTTAACTGATAGAAAGCATGGTTATCAACAAAAGTGACAACCCAAGATGTGAGCTATATATTGGGCATGTCAAAATCAATCAGGGGCAGAAATTTAACTATCTGTGTAGTGTAGTAAGAGACAAAGAAAATGTGATGCAGAGATCCAAAGATACATAGGAATAATGAAAGATGACTTCCAGAAACTAAGCAAAGTATTGAGACATAAGAAAAAACCATTAAAGACAAAGAAAGGTGTACTGAACTGTTATGTAATGTCTAATCTCTTATATGAAAATGAATGCTGTGCAATTTCCTTGCAGATCAAGAGATTTGAAGCTATAGGGATGTGGCTCAACCAACAAATGCCAATAATACCACAGACAGAGCATGTGAGCAATGAAGAAGCCTTAAGGAATACAAAAACAACAAGGAAACTTAAACTTACAATCAGAAAGAAAAAGATAAAAATTTCTATAGAACATAATGAGGAAAGAGGCACTAGAAAATTTAACATTCACAGGACATATTTAAGGCAAGAGAAAGTGTGAGTGACCTACTTTATGAGTTTCTGTAAATGGATAGTAGAAGAGGTAAAAAAGGTCAAAGATTTTTTATAGCAAAAAAAGACAGGATGTTGTGAAGAGTCCGGAAAAGTGTTTATTGGATTTCTTCTCCTCCTTATAAATGAGACTGACTCTATTGATAAGAATATTATTAATCTGAAGCTGTCCTTTCAATGGACAAAAAACAAAACTGTTTTTTTTCAATTACCCACTAATAGACCATTTCTATGTGAAACAATCTAATGAGAATCATATATGTGTATGTATATATGAGTGTGCATAACAGAAACCATATCACTTGAGGACTACCAACAGCAGTAACAACTAAAATGGATAGAACGTTTAACTTAAAGAGAAAATAATGGCATAATCAAGATGTTAACATTCCATACCACTTCAAATAGAAAGTTCAGAAGGAAATCCCCATCAATACAGGAAAGAGCAATAAAAGCTACTTAATCTTTCTCTTAAAACACTTTTTTTAGCAATAAAAGCTACTGGACCTCTTTTCCTAAAAAAGTGCTTTAAGTGAAAGATTTTATAAATTTCAACTGAAAACAGTACTGGCTGTTTGGTCAATAAATGCTAAATGTTTCCTTGTATGGAAATGGCTAATATTATGATTACCATATATCAGTTCATGATTTATTTTACATGGGTTACAACAACAGCAAAGTCAATGTAATTAGTATCACAAATATGCACATGTAGTAACTTAATAAACATAGTAGAAGCCCTTAACAAACCTAGTATTAGCAGCAGTTCTGGAGGGGTATAAAATCATGTGAATCCTTAAAGTAACTCTTTTCTTGGTTTTCCTCTTTTGAACTATATGACATGAATTTTTCAAGTTGAAGCTAAAAGGGCTGTGGATGCTTCATACTAAAACACACCAACACACTAAGTCACACTCAGATATATTCATGAACATTTCATTTTGTATGCAATTTACTTCTAGGAAAAGAAACTCTTGTCTTAAACTTTCCTTTTATTAATTTTGTTTAATAAATGTTATCTTGCATTGCAAATCAATTGATCTATTATTTTGTGCATGTACCTTTTTACCATCACTATTTCATATACTATAAAATATTCTCGTAAGAAACCTTACAAATTATTGAAATATCTAACATACTAAACACAGAATATCATATTAATTTGATTACAAACAGATACATCAAGCTCAGTAAAACTATTACAGGTATTGGCAATCAAATACAGAATTGGTTAAGAATTCAATCAATAATCAACCACAATAAAACAAATTCTCCTTATAAATCAATTTCCTCACCATCAGAGATGGCTTCAACTTCCTTGGTGGAATCCGATCCCAAACAACAGTTGGAGTAAATGATTCTAAATTCAAAAGAGCCTGTAAACCCTCATTGTCTTTTATAGCTGCAAAACCAGAAGTTGTGTTTGATGGCACCAAGGATTTCTGGCTTTTCAATGCTGATGATTTATTCTTCTGGCTGCTGCTAGCTTTTGACTCCACTTTCTTGACACCGCATTTCATCTTGGATTCCTTTTTCTTCTTTGTTCTTGGGGATTTTCCATTGCTCTTACTCTGAATCCGGGCCTTACTCCCAAGCCGTTTGTTTGCCACAGTTACCCACTGGTTATCATTCCCAGGAATTGGAACCACAGGATAATACTCTGTCCAAGATTTTTTCTTCTCGGGTGCCTTGGCATCAGAATTTTCCAAAGCAGAAGTAATTTTCAGTTGAATGTTGCTCTTGAAAGGAATAGCCCAAGGAGTTTCCTCACCATCAGAAAAATGTCTCTGATCCCAGTCTAATTCATCACAAGACATGTCATCTTCAGTGGAAACAGATAAGGCATCTTCTTCATGAAGAACTTCAAGACTGTCTGAGAGATCATCTATTTGTCGTTGCTGTCGCTTCAATTGACGTTTCACTCTTTTCTTTTCCCTCTTTTCTCTAAGGCGCACTTCATTGGCCAGCAATTCTGAAATAGTCTCCTCCTGCCTCTCCCGGCACATTGTGTCAAAACAAGTAAAAAAGCGTTCCATCATCTGGAGTAGAAGGAAGTCATTATCAGTCAAAAAATAATGATATTATATTTGTCAATCAATAATTTATTTTTGAATACTACATGTATCTTTACCATTTTTAATCTGAGATTATTAAAGACAATTCATTTAATATTAAATTTTGATATAAAGAACTTTCACCATCTTTGTTATTTTATTCAGTAACATTTTAGCAACTGTGGCTTATACCTGAGGAAAACCTTGTAGCCTATTCAAAATGCAATGATAAAAATAACAAAGATGAGGATACTAGCCTAAATAATTCATGGAATAATGAAAATACTTCAACTCAGAACTTTAGCCAATATTAGGTAAGGAAAATCAAAGTATACACTATTGGAAATTCTAGGATCAAAGCAACAAAGATTAGGATACTAGATTGAATATTTCATAGAATATATATAATAATATTGTCAGATAGATTTATTGGAACTAGTAAATATGTATCACAGTAGTTTGAATGCAATAAATAAATAGTGAGTTGGTACAAAATGATTACACCCTTTTACAATCAAATAAAAAATTTGAAATTCAAATAAAACAAAGTACAACTTCAAATGAAAAATAATGAATTTCAAATAGACAAAAATTAAATTTGAAATTAAAATTTTATTAGTGCAAATAGAAACAGTATAGGTTTATAAACAAACATAATCACAGACAGATGATTAGATATTAAGCAGTTCAAACATTTGGTGATCTTGTTATGCCAAGGTTGGGGCAAAATGTTTCTGTACATGATTGTACATCTTTATGCAAAATAGCAGGGGAATTGCCGACATCACTTTCTTGATTGCTTCTTCAAGGTAGTGTAATCTGTACTCTGAATAACTGAGCAACTGGCATTTCATAGCAGCATTCATAACGCTTCAGCTGGTCATTGGTCACCCAAAATGACAATTTGTTTAGGTGAGAGGCAATCACAGCCTTTGTTTGTTCATTTCCACAAGTGTTTACTTTGTTAATTTGAAATTCAGCTGTTTTAACTTTTAACTTGAAATGCAACTTTTTTTTTTAATTTGAGGGTGAAAAAATATAGATATCATAACAACTTCATACAACTGTGTTTTAATGACAAAATACAATGGCAGAATGAAAGTGTATGACTTTTAAAATTGCCAGAGCCAGATGCAACAAGGAGTAACTAAGAATGGAGACATTATTTATTTTTTTTAATCATTTCACCCCAAGCAAGGTAGTATTGCCACTAGTATGAAGAGGGTTACAGGGAATGAAAGTGAAAGATAAAGAGAAGATTTAAAATGGGGAGGACTGAGGAAATGATAAAAGATGAACAGGGTTCCAGAGGACAGAAAATATGTGATTGATATTGCGTTTAAATCTTTGAAGATTGTAGTTAACAGAAACAAGAAAACAGAAGGGTGTTCCACAGGTGGGAAGTGCGAGAAAAGAAACTGTAAAAGTGGTGGTTACATTTAGCTATTTCATCTGTAAAAGGGTTGAACCTAGACCCAATCACACTAGTCACGCTTAAATTAATGTATTTGGGGTACCAAGGGAAAATACGTTTATCAGAGCTGTTACCATAAAAATACTTGTTGAAAAGACAGAGGGAAGCCACATCACATCAGTGAGAAAGTGGCTGAAGTCAAGATACCTGGTCAGGATTGATTATACTACAGATCATTCTTTGGATTTTGTCAAAAATCTTTAGATATACAGCAGGAGCTACAGACAAGATATGTAAATATCATTCAATCCACGGATGAATGGTAGATTTGTAAATGTGCAAGATGGATTCTAACAAGAAAACTTTTCTGGTATGACACAGTGACCCAACTTTCTTTGCAGTAGATGTAGCTATTGATTCTATATATTCACTCCACTTCATGTCAGTGGAAAATGCAACATGATATTAAATTAAGCCACTTAGGGCTGATGTCACCGCTTTAATAGAAGAAACAAAATGGAGGAACCTAAATTCAAAAGCAAAGAGACTTTGGTTATATTTAAATATTGACATGATATTCAATAAAATCTTAATTTAATGACATGACAATAAACTATCTTTTTAGTTAAAAATGACACCCTACAATTTGATTCGTCATGAAGTAAAAAAAAAAATAAAGAAATTTTTTTCTGTATCTATTAAATTGAATCATTATTAATTTTTGGGAAGTGTGATGTGAAGTTAATTCCCTTGTAATTATTTATAGAGACCAATCACATTTCAATAAAGCAGCTACTAGCAGTCAGAGTTACTCATACGATGGTTTGCTACAGATAAGCATGCAGTACAGTTTGTTTCATCATGCACTCTTAGTCACAGTTGTTAGCATTGGTACATAACAGGAATAAATTGTAATGATGAATCATCTTAACTATAGACAAGACAGTTAAGAATAAATTTTGATTATATCTTAGTTTTTAGTACAATGGATCAAAGGAAAAATGCTGTTCTCTATGGCAACACAAGACTAAGAATAAGTCAGGAAAATGTTTGAAACCTACTCAGTTTGTTCTATCCCATATTCACCTGACATTGCACAAACCAATTATTACTTTTTTTTCAATCAATGTAAAATGCTGTAATGCAAAAAACTTTCTCTAATAAAATCAGATTTAAGAGATCTCTGAAAAGTTTTTTCACATCAAAACCTGCAGAATTTTACTCAAAATGTATCAAAGAGCTGCCTGATAGGGAACAAGAAATCATTGCAAATATGGTGAATGCATAATTGAATAAAATGTAATTGTACTCTATTTTTGGAAGAAAAAATTGATAAACTATCTATGACTCAACCTAATCACTTTTCCTTTTTTTTCTTTTTTAACAGTAAGTTTCACCCCATACAAGGCCCGAAGGCCACTTAAGGTAGAGGATTACATTAAGAGTCAATTCATGTGAATAGGAAAGTAATGGTTAACCTTAGATTTGAACAGGTTAAGATTGTGGTGATTGGGAAAACATCCTCTTGGGAGTTGATTCCACAGAGCAGTGTTTTGTGGGAAGAAGCTGTTCAAGTGGAATTTACTTCTTACCAGTGGGATACAGAGGGAATGTGGATGGTTTTCTACTATGCAAGTGGCATGGCAGGTCCTAATTGTGAAGGTTAGAACTGGTGGAACCAAGGTATGTAGCTTGTCCGACCACTTTCCATGAAAGTAGTGATAAAGCAGTGAGAGGCTTGCCACATCTTGCCTGTGAGAGAGAGAGAGAGAGAGAGAGAGAGAGAGAGAGAGTGGAGGGTGGAAAATAATTTATCACCCATAAGGACTTGGAGATGTTTTGGATTGGAAAGTGAGGATTGGACAGCCCCTGCCCAAATATGATAAGAGTACTCCCTTTTAGCTCTGTCTGTGCAATACAAGTGACCTCTTGAACACTTAGCTCTCATGAGGTCACTTGAGGTCTTGAGCTAAGCAAAAAACAAAATCTTGTCTGAATGTTTCAGTCAGTTATACAGACAAACTTCTCATCTATGGACTCCCACCCTCAATGGACTTTGGATGCAATGGACAAAATCTACAGGCAAAATAAAAAAAACTTCCAAATCATCAACGATGTATTTCAAAATTTGTGGGCTTAGCGGAATGAGTCATATTAGTTCTCAAAGTAATCACTTGGTGGCAGTGGCAGGTCTTTCAATTGTAAACAAAGATGGAAAGTATGATACATTAGTGCATGCATGAGAAAGTAGCTGTGAGAAATCTATTATTTCTATTATTTTGATTAATACATTAATTGTTCTGTCCCCATCATGACATCGAAGCAGAGGGAAAGTTTAAAACCTATATATTAGCATCTTCCATCTATAGACAATCAGCTGTAATAGACCCCTCTCCTCCCTACTTGTCCATTGATGAGAAGTTTGTCTGGCCAAGACAAGAATAACATCAAATATAAGCAGAATAATATTGTTGCATGACCTTCTATTTGGCTGCATTTGTACTTGGAAGACATACATATTGTATATGTATGTACATGCTTTCTCTGTGTAAACAATCAAGCAAAAAAGTTTATCCAAAAACAAGAAATCCTTGAAATGTTTATGAAATGGTAAAAACAATTTCCCAAAACATGTTTACAAACTATCATATCTTTCAGAGTAACTAAACTTTTACAAGTATATGACAATATATCCAAGAAATATTAATTTTACAATACCATTAACAGAGGAGTTAAGTCTCCAAATTCATACAGTGGCTGTGTAAAAAGGGAACCATGTTCCTTCAAGACAGAGCTGTTCAAACTCTGTACGTAAGGCAACAACTTTTTTACGTGACGCTTTAGCCATTCCTTGCCAGTGTCCACTTCACTGATAACCATGATTGGTAAGATGTATGTCACAGCACAGATCATTTTACCTTGGTGCTGGTAGTGAGCAGAGGCAATCTGAAGAAAGAAACACAATAGAGAAACCAAAATATAAAATGGTTATATTTAAATGTTGTACCATACTTGATAAAACCTGAATTTAATCATTCAACAAACAAAACCTATTTTAAATTATAATCTTAAAGTTATACCCACCTGAGATTAGTGTGACTCAAAGTGTGGCTAGTGTACCAATGCTAGTTTGCAGACCATAGGCTACCAATATATATTTGGGCTCAAAAGATGGAAGATGATTTTTCAAAATACATATTTTGATTTGTTTAAGATAAAAGTAAAAACAAAATGTCCTGAGTTTATTGAAATTGCTTTGAAATCCCTGCTATATTGTCATTGAATATATATATCTGAACACTTTATCCCATTAATATAGCACACCTTAAAACTATATTTTTCATATATATATATATATATATATATATATATATATATATATATATGTATATATATATATATATATATATATATATATATATATATATATATATATATATATATATATATGTATATATACATATATATATATATATATATATATATATATATATATATATATATATATATATATATATATATTTATCAGATCTGTAAG